TGACCAGCGAAAATAAAGCCCTGTTTAGTAAAAGCGTAGACTGCTACACAATTTTCATTTTATCTCATAATATGCTTATGATCTTCTAAAATTGTTTCGACGTGGAACCATTAGTCAGACACACTCGACAAAAGAAGTAACCAAAAACAGTGCAAGGACAACTTGAAAAGACAGTTTTATGCGAAACGGTACAATAAACAAGATCAAATTACAATTTTGTTTAGTAGCCGCCGTACCAATCTGCCGCGTAACCCTCTGATTCGCTAACTTCGCAACAACTCGAGAGTATTTCCTAAAAATAAGAAGTTGAGGTAGCGAAACATACTGTAAAGTCACGCAAAACTTTCTTTATTTAATTCACAACCACTTCAAAATAAAAAAAATTGACCATTTACTTAATTTTTAGTCATAAAGATAAAACAGTAATTGTTTAATGTTCTGACAGAAATTTCTTTAAAACGATATCAAAAAGCGCAGCAGAGAAAAAAAGAAGTGAAACATTTACGGTATACCGTCTTGACTCCCCAAAAGTTCAAAACCGCCATTTCCAAAAAAAAAATCTCTTGGAATCACCAAAATTTTTAAGTATATTCTAGAATTTCTGAAATGCAACGTGATGAATTAACTAACAATAAGTTAATGCTACAAAGGCTGAAAAAATCTAAACAAAATGTAAAACAGAAAAAATGAAGTACCTCTATAATTTCTAAAGAATATTTGAATAATTCAGACGACCAGCCTCAGTTATACGACGTCTTCTCAGCCTTATAAACTATTTATTAGTTTATAAGGTTAAGAAGAGATCGGATAACTGAGGCTTCTCAGCAGTTAGATTTTGGCGAGGGATTCAGCAGCCATTATAGCACATAACAGCTGAAACAACCAAACATTTAGCTCTGACGATTATCAAGTAATGGCATGACCTAGCTTCATGACTTGAAATGATAAAAATTATTGCTTTAACAGTCTAACAAAATCAACCTTCAAAAACGGTACGCGACGACTAAGAATATAACGGTTCTCAAACTGACAGCTACAGATAAAGTCAAGTCACGCAGTGAATCGTATACAGCAACTACCAGTTCTAGGTAATAAAATTTGGATAATAAAAGAAGACTGTTTCATATACAATAACATTTCACAACTAATCTCATAAAAAATAATAGTTGAAAGAAGAACAAAAACAACGCTGTGATGTTACGAACTGGTCCGAGATAAATTTTCTTTTTTATGGGAATTCGACTGTCAAACAATGAACCAACTAAAATAAAGAGTGTAAAAGTACAGCAGGCTTCTGAGACCTTCAGTGCTTTAGCGTGACGTCACTCAAGCAAGAAAATTTCAGAACATGTATCACAAACAAACAATTGTGTCTGACACTCTAAATTGATAAAATTATTCTAAAAATTTTCATTTTTTATTGTAAAAAAAAATGAAAACTTGAAAAGAAGAAACCTACTTTGCTCACTCTGTAATCAGAGCAGCAATAAGAACCTTTTTGTTCTATTAAAACGCTTGAAACTGGCTTTTAGAATAAAACCTTGTAAATTACAGAAGAAATATGAACACCAATACATCTGAAAACTCCTCAGGTGTGTAATACAATTTCATATGGCACCAACTGCAAAGCCGAAGCATTCAGCTCTCATTTTAGACATCTCTATGGAACTATTGACTCGTCTGTTGAAAGCCCATGTAAATTGTTTTGTATAACATCACCGCTACTAAAGTTTCCTGCATTTTACAAAAAGAAAAGATATATATTATGTCATATTA